GAGGGGAGTGTGGGGGGGCTTACCTGGACTGCCCGTCACGCCGGAGCCGGCGCTGAAGTAACGGTCGAAAACAGTGACTGAGTACGAGAGACGAGACAGTGGTAACGGTCGAAAACAGTGAGAACGACAAAGAGACCCAAACCATTCTTATACTAGAAAATTATATTTAACCAGGCTCCCCATCTATAACAACTTCCAGAAATTGAACCGTGAAAGAAAGAGGGACGGGGTGAATGTAGGTAAGCAGACCATTAGTCAATGAACTTAGGTAAAATGACTCTACGCACTGATACATCTTATTGGGAAGTGATCAAAATTCACAAAATTTGTTAAAATATGTTATTCCAATATGTCAGAAGCTACTCTATAGTTGAAATAGTTTCAAATCACTCAAACGTTGAACAAAACTAGTTGAATGGAATTGATTCCTCACTGGAAATTTTCAGTTTTCCCCTGCTCCGAACATAGAATTATCAACATAGTAATTGCAGCAACACAAACAAAGAAGGAACAAAGTGTTGATAATACACAAGTTGTAATTCTGAGTCCTTAGGATGGTCTCATAGTATAGTATATCGAACGTTCAAAGCCAGTTATGTCACTTAGAATTTTTCAATAGCTACTCCATCTCTCAAAACCTCATAAGCCTCCCTACTCCGGGTTTTCTTCAACCCAGCTGTGAAATGAACCTTGGATTTTTCAGATGAGATGGCAGTAACTTTTACCCACATCATCACTTTCGTTTTCATTCCTTCAATGTCAGCTAGCTTTCCTTTTTCTAAAAATCCAGTAACTTCTGTAGAGAAGCGTAATACAGATGAATCCTTGTAACCAACTTCACATACAGAGGGTATATAGACAGTGAGCTTCCTTGTCTCTTCATTAAACTCGTAATTGGTGGCATCCCGAGGGAAAATACCTACTGGAACATCATACTCCTTCAAAAGATCTGGCAATGGCTTTTGCATTTTTCCTACAAAACCAAGATTAACCAGGGAAGATAAAGGTTATGACTTGTACCAAGTTCTTTTTAAGCTTGTTGATATAGGTAGAAAATCCTCAAGAAGATGAACGAGGGACGCTAGTGGATCAGATAGCAAATTTTGAACATACAAAAGGGGGGGCAAAAATGGAAGAGCATGGTGAGTTATGCAAAGAGAACACAAACCTTTAAGCTTGTTCACCAGCCATTTTGTTCCTCCTTCAATACTGCTTTGCAATGACTGATTATTGATAGGGAAAAGATCAGTATGAACCATAAAAACTGAAAAACCAGATAGAGAAAAATCCAATGCAGAGAAACGACTAATGGGAACCAACAGCACTTATCCTGAGTTCTCCAAGTAATTCCAAATTTAGCAAACTTAGTAATATTAACAGTAATTCTAAAATGGTTTCAGTTGCTATGCTAGAAAAGTGACATTATCAAGATTTTTCTGAAGTGGAAATTTTTTTTAAATATCCCCATCAATTACAGTCATTATATTCAGAGAAGCAGGAACACTAAGTGGCTTCGGTTACCTTTTTTTTAATGAAGAACTATCATAACATTATAATACTTATAATCATATTAGAACATAAAAGTTTCTATTGGCTATTACCAACATCTTGAGGATAAAGGTTTTCCATTTGTTTCTTCCATTAACAGTAAACAGCTTCACTCTTACATTCATTGGGATGCTCAGCTGACCAGTTTATGCTCATGTTTTAAGGAATAAAGGTGGAGAAGACGCACATCAGGTTCCTTTATTTCCACTGTATACAATAACTTATATTGATCTTGGAAATGCAAATAAGCAATAAATGCAACAAGAGAAGCAATTCATCAAAATCGAAGGCCAACCACGCAAAAAAGTCTGCATGAGCATTAGACTAGCAATAAGAAAAGCTAGAATTTGTCTACTATGACATTGTTTAGGAACCACACAGGAAATACAAAAATTTTGAAGAGGCTCAAACCCTACTGCATATAAAAGCCTGGTATTTAAGTGGAGAAGAGTAGAGAGGCGAGCCCATTGTCCTCCAAGTTCTAAACCGTGTGCCACTAGCCCTCAACTATATCTCAGTTATAAAAAAAATCAATAAAACTTGAAGAATAACAGCATGAGGGAGAAGAGACTGATCTAACAAAAAGTTCTGAATTTTAGCACGTCAGTGACAAAACCTAGTAGTACTATGCCTCCATTATAGCTTTTCCGCTCTGCATCTGCGGGAGTCTTATCCAACAAAATTAAATCTAGCCGCACTTCTTGGTTATCAATCCATTTTCCATGAAGAAGTGTTTGCATTCCCAGTTACAGTCACAGAGCCATTTCCCAATAAACAACAGTTGAAATACCATGGTATAAAAAGAAAATGGTGGATCATTAATTAGAAATAGATAGAACCCAAATTAAGAAGTCATCACTCTGTGAATGATCTCAAGATATGCCAAAGGAAAGTATCCCCCTCCCCCCCTTGAAATTAGCTTCTAACATGCTATGAAAGTCGTATTTAACCTTAAACGTTGATTAGCTATGACACGGACCAAAATATCATATAGTGGCACCTGTTGATAACCAAACTGCAAAGGAATTGGCAAAATGGAATCATCATATGCACTCTGTTATATTTCACTACCTCACACCCTTAGGTGCTGCTTTCTTTTTTGGAAACAGCGGATTTCTCTATCACTTTCTTTTTCATTAAAAATAACTGAAAAATCAGTCATTTCCAACTTCGGAACTTGGTAAATATTGAGACTGCTCCTCTATCCTTCACTATTTAACCACACACTTGGTTTACCTATTATGTTCGAACTCGTAATGTGCACCTACCGCACATCTGTACTACCTTTGTATTGAACCAACGCACTGAGGGGCTTAAAATCATAGATCCACATCTAGCTAGAAGGAGCTTATTTAGCAAATTCAGACTAAAGGGGTAGGCCGGTGCACAAAGCATCCCGCAATCGCGTAGGGTCCGGGGAAGGGCCGCACTCAAGGATGTGATGTAGGCAGCCTACTATCAGTGACTAATTGCACGACTTGAACCCGTGACCTACAGGTTTTTACCATTGCTCCAAGACTCCCCTTCATTTAGCAAATTCAGACTATTAAGGGATAAACATCCTAGTCATTAAGGTAAATTATGCAATCAAACCTATAAAATTTACTGGTTCCACAGACATAATTAAGAATTTCCAAATTAGATCATAGCAAAATCTGAAATAATTAAGATTGAAGCAAAAGGAAAAGAAGGGGCATACGTTAATGTCATCGCCGACGGAATTGAGCTCCTTGTTAGCTCTCTTACCAATCCAGTAGGAACCCACTTTGTTCAATATCTGATCCATTTTTATATGCTTCTCAGATTTCTATAAACTGATGATTAAAACACTAATGATCTCTGTATGAAGAAGCTTAAAAAGGTCTTTTCCCAATTCAGAGAGATAATGGTATGTTGTGAGGGTGGGGGGAGTAGATTTGAGTTTACTTCTTCGCGAATTTTTCCACACCCAACTACAAGCTATGAGCAGTCCCTTTCGCTACCTATGCAATGCTTTTCTAACTGTGATTTGCGCCCGGAAAGGAAAGAGAACTTTGTGCCTTTGCTTCCTTTCGTATTGTTTTGGGAAAATATCATTTTTTGTCCGCCGAAATTATTTATATCTATTTTATACTATATTTTTTGTATATTATTTTCAGAGTTGTTATATATAGTAGTAGTACTGTACATGGTAAAATATGTTAATATTAAATGATCGCATGAAAAAGTGATACGTGGAGCCGAAAACAGAAGGTAATTGAATTCGGAGGCAACGATCTCGTCTGTTACCATGGAGAATAATACTCATAAAGATGAAATAATTGTCTGTCACCCGGTAGCATTTAATGAGGAATATATCATTCACTGCCCGCCGTTACACATTCTTCAATGGCCCTCATTGTAAAAATGGATCCTAGGACCTTGTTCCCTAGGTGCATCTACAAATAGTGAGCTCTATTATCATTGTAAAAGACACAAATTCTCTCACAAGCATACAATATATTCTATCAAAAGCTCAATAACATTTTACTTTCTTGATTATATATACTGTTCTTACTGCCCCCGGAAGCTCTGTGCCGGGGATCAAGATATATGTTGTATCATTTCAATTTCAAGGCTAAGTCTTACATTTTTGTCTAGTTCATTTATTATTTTAGGATCAAATTAATTCACTTGTCTATAAACCACATATAAATTCAACTGTATCGTTTTACAGGTAAATAGTTTGGCGCCCACCGTGGGGCTTAAATAGTTGTGTAATTAAGTTGGTCCTGGCCTCTTTTACTAACGCGTTTGATTATTTGTTCTTAGCAAAAAAATCATTAAAAATGGCACATAATGGTGTTAACAACACACACAACCTTAAGGCCCAAGGAAATCAACCTCAACACGAGGATTCAATCAGTGATACCCGCAGTGGGGGGAACAAGGCCACGCCGGTCCACGGCAGACGGTACCCGCGATATGTTAGAGAGGCGACTCCTGACGATGCTGAAGAAAAGCACGCCATCGAAGAAGTTAGGGTCTTGCAAGAGCAACAAGAGGCCATTCTAGGCCATCTCACACGATATGATAAGGTTATGGCAGAGCTGAAGCAGGCGTTATCGGGTGCTTCCAATAACACGAATGGACGAGGTCCAGTTCCTCTCGGTGCTCCTGCAAATCAAACAACGTAGAGGGTCAACAACAACACCCCGAGGGGCGAGGTCGGCTTCGATGGGGCCGGAGGAGCGGATCTGGTCACAACAACGAGAGCGATCCCTTCAAAATCGAACTGATGCGATTTATGAGGGAAGTGAACGCCCACATGGATCAAATTTCGAACGCACAACTAGTGCTGAAAGGGTCGGAATCAAATAAGTACACGCGATTGCCGTACAAACCAAGCGCGGCACCAGAATTGATCCCGAAGCGGTTTAAAATGTTAGAGGTGCCGAAATATGATGGGACTTCAGATCCTCAGGAGCATATCACCACCTATACAACGGTGGTGAAGGGGAACAATTTAGCTCTCCACGAGTTTGAGTCAGTTTTGCTCAAGAAATTCGGGGAGACTCTCACGAAGGAAGCCTTGACGTGGTATTCGCTTTTTCCCGAGCATCCATAGACACCTTCGAGATGCTCGCGGATTCTTTCATTAAGGCCCATGCCGGGGCCAGAAATGTATATGCCCGAAAGACCAATATATTCAGGATTTCACAAGGAGAGTCCGAGTTGCTATGGGAGTTTGTAACCAGGTTCCACAAGGAAAGGATGTTTCTACCGGCACTTTCGGATAAATGGGCGGCTGAAGCATTCACCAAGGGTTTGAATTTCAGAAGTTTTGATGCTTCCCGGAAGTTCAAAGAAAGTTTACTCGAGTTCCAGGCGACAACTTGGGCGGATGTTCACAACCGGTACGAGTCAAAGATAAGGATTGAGGATGATCAGCTCGGTTTCTCGACATCGGTTAAGGGTCTGGACCGGGAGAAGAATAAAGAGAAATCAAAAGACGATTTTGACACAGATCGACGGTCTTCAAGGAGTTGATTTTTGCCCTATGAACGGGCCGAAGGACACGGCAGAGGTTTCCAATCGGTGGATAGGTTCGTTAGCGATAGGAGAGCTGATCGCGGCCGAAACAACAGGTCGTTACAAGACAAGGAAACGTCAGGTTCTCGAGATTCTTCCTACCCCAGACTTTCAGAATATAACTTCAACGTTAGTGTAGTGGAGTTGGTGTCAGCTATGAGGAACCTTAAAGAAGCACGGTTACCGAAGCCAATAAGATATGATCCTAACCAGAGGGATCCTAATTTATGGTGCGAATACCACGGGACAAACGGTCACCGGATTGGGGATTGCCAGCATTTTCGCGAAAAGGTGGCGACATTGCTAAAAAACGACGATCTTAGGAAATATTTATGTGACTGGGCTAAAAACAACTATGGTCGCAATCGTGGTAATGCGAAACCCTCAAAAGCGGGAGAAGATCCACCGCGCATGACGATCAACATGATTTTCGGGGAAAACGAGATTAACGGGGTTACATTCTCAGCGGCAAAAAAGACGAAGGTGTCAGTAACCCACAACAAGAGGCTCCGGGAAGTCGCTGAAGACAACATTACTTTCACGGAGGAAGACGCAGATAGATTGTTGCTACCGCACAAAGATGCATTGGTAATCTCTTTAAATGTATTGGGTTTTAAAATTAAGCGTGTTTTGGTGGATCCAGGAAGTTCGACCAATATTATACAATGTTGGGTATTAGAGCAAGCCACGATCACCGAAAGCATCATTCCAGCCTTTAAACTCACCGTTGGGTTCAACCTAGCAAGCATGACAACTCGATAAGAGATTCTATTGCCCACGAATGCCGAAGGGATGATGAAGACGACCCTTTTCGAGGTGGTGGATGGCAGTATGGGCTACAATATTATCCTGGATAGACCATGGTTGCACGAGATGAGGGCTGTGCCATCGACATATCACCAGTTTCTAAAATTCCCAACTCCCGAGAGAATTAAACAAATAAGATGTGACCAACCGGCAGCAAGGGAGATAAATGCAATTTCAGTCTCCAGGAGCAAAGGGAAAGAGCATGTGGCATAGTAATTACAGGAACCGGCGTCTGTTCCCCGGTCAAGCGAAGTCAACCAGGGGAAAAGGCGTCGGAATCATATAAGGTGCCAAGGTATTTCCAGGCACCAAAAGAGACGAACGCAACAAAGTCCACAGTGGAAGAACTTGAGCAAGTTGCGTTATTCAAAAAGTTCTTGGAGACGAAATTCCACTTAGGGACAAGACTGCACCCCGAACTTAGGTCTGGATTTATCGAATTTCTTAAATTTAATGTCGATTGTTTTGCATGGTCGCATGCGAATATGACAGGTATCCCGCCGGAAGTGGCCGTACACAAGCTAAGCTTGGATCCCAGCATTCCTCCGGTAAGAAAAAAAAATATCCTACAACCGAGGCCAGAAATAAATTTGTCAAAGAAAAGGTAACTCGCCTGCTTGATATCGATTCAATCCGAGAGGTAAAGTATCCAGACTGGCTAGCTAATGTAGTAGTAGTTCCAAAGAAGAAGAATAAATTTTGCATGTGCGTGGACTATAAGGACTTAAATAAGGCGTGCCCAAAAGACTCGTTCTCGTTGTCGAACATTGATCAAATGATTGAGGCAATGTCCGGGCACGAGTTGATGAGTTTCCTCGATGCTTACTCCGGGTACAATCAAATTAAGATGAACCCAGAGGATTAGGAAAAAACTTCATTCAAAATGAATTTCAGCATATATTGCTATAATGTGATGCCCTTCGGGCTAAAGAACGCCGGAGAAACTTATCAACGGCTCGTGAACAAAATGTTTGAAAAGAAAATAGGGAAAACCATGGAAATTTACATAGACGATATATTTGTTAAGTCTTTGAACACATGTGATCATTTTAAACACTTGCAAGAAACTTTTGACATCTTAAGGAAGCATAACATGAAGCTTAACCCCAAGAAATGTGCGTTCGGGGTCAGCTTCGGCAAGTTTCTGGGATTCCTGGTGTCACAAATGGGGGATTGAGGTTATCTCTGATAAAATTAAAGGCATCGAAGACATCTCGGACCAGATATCAACCGAAAAAAGGTTCAAAGGCTCACAGGGAGATTGGCCTTTTTGAGCAAGTTCATTTCATGGTCTTCAGAGAAATGCCATCATTTCTTCTCGCTACTCAAAAAGAAGAACAACTTCGAATGCACCCCGGAATATCCACATGCTTTGAGGGATTTGAAAAGGTATTAGTCAAGTCCTTCGTTACTATCGAAGCTGGAGGAAGGTGAAAATTTGTTAATCTACCTAGCAGTCTCGGAGGTAGCGGTAAGCGCCATTTTAGTCTGTGAGGATAAAGGTATGCAATCTCTCATTTATTACGTTAGTAGAATTTTAACGGGAGCAGAAACTCGCTTTCCCGCATCTGGAGAAGTTAGCCTTAGCCCTCATAGTCGTCGCTCGAAAGCTAAGGCCTTACTTCCAATGTCACCCGATAGCTGTGGTGACCACCTTTCCCCTGCGGAATATCCTTCATAAACCCAAACTTTCGGTTAGGCTGGCCAAGTGGGTCATTGAAATAAGCGAATTTGACGTAACTGTGATTAAGTCACAAGTTTTGACCGACTTTGTGGCCGATTTCAGTCTTGGATTGTTACCTTTGGCAACCAAAGTAGCAGTGATGGTGTCAGAATCGACATCAGGAGATTGGACCCTATTCACAAATGGAGCTTCCAATGTAAAAGGGTTCGGGCTCAGCATAGTATTAACCACGCCCTTGAGAGAAATACTAAGGCAGGTCATAAGAACGGTTCTTTTGACTAACAATGAAGCAGAGTATGAATCTTTGATTGCAGGGCTCAAATTGGCCCGGGGACTGGATTTACTCCCAGTTGGTGGTAAATCAGGTCTACGGGATCTTCGAAACCAAAGAGGAACGCATGCAACAATACGTAGTGAAGGCAGTGCTGGTTGTTGGTTGCTCGTCAATCAAAGACGACACGGACCCGGTACTTAGCCTCACGGGACCGGGCACGACGACTAGGATCCGGAAGCGGGAGTTGGC